ATGGTCGGCAGCAAGGAAGTCAGCTGCTAAACTATTGTGAGGAGTTTCAGAACTATTTTTGGATGAAAAAAAGCACAAAATAAAAACGCTTTACATTTTGAAAACCCCATTGCCTGAAAAAGATACCGGGCAGCCATTTGGGAATCTGCAGCTCTACCAAGGGCACATTACATGGATGCGCTGAGCCTCCGTTAATAACACCAAAAGCTGGAATCTGCAGTAAAAGTTAAACATATACAAAAGCATCATGTCCAGAATGGGAAGATGTGTATTAAAACCCTCTGACTAACAGACAAGCTATTTGAAACCCTGACCTAAAAAAAAAAAAGGCTCTTTTTTCTGTGCAAACACAAGCTGCGTATTAAACAGTCTACTTTGCTTTGAAGTATATTCCGCTTTCACATTTCTGTCCTCAGAAGGCTGGAGTTAACCCACCAAACATCAAGAATGGCCTTAGACATTTTTCTTCTGAACGTCAGAACTCTCCTGCTCTGACCCAAACACGCGCGTCCGTATTCATGGCAAACGTTCATTCCTACTGCTCCTGACATTTGTCTCGCTTTGAACCACGCAAACCAGGTATATTCTCATACTGCCAGCGTGGCAACCACAGACTCCTCCGCTGCCAAGACAACAGACTCATCCCTGTCCTAACTGCACATGCAGCCTCTACAAAGACATCCAGCAGCCACGGGGCCTTTCTGCATCTAGCGAAAGCTCGTTAGGGTAGCGTACAGCACAAGTCAACTACCAAAGGCTTCTGCCTGGAAGTATAGCGAAACGTGTTCATAAAACTCAGTATGAAACAGAAAACAAGTTTGATGCCTCAAAGTACCGCAGGCAAACCAACACTTGTCAGATCCGGAGCATCACAAAAAAGTGACAAATCAGCACAGGAAAAATTTCTTTAAAACACCCTAAATGAAACGAGGAGATAAAGGTCTGTTTAAGCTAGCTGCACGTCTTTGAACGTGATCCGAAAGTAAGGAAAAAGAAAACAAAAAAATGGCAGATGTTCAAAGTAGAAGTAACAGTGATGTTAATAATGAGTGAACTAGTCAGATAAAGGCTATCTAATAAATTAGCAGGTCTCTGTATTGCAACTTCAGCAAAAAAAGTAGGTGAAACCTAGGCTAACGAAGTTTCCATTTGATGGACTGGATTTTTAAAGGCTTGGGAGGACTGACATAACGGAACTGCAAAGGTGGTTTAAGTAGGCTGCACACCCAATCTTCAAACTGAGAAATACACTTCCCTAATGGAACATTTCTCTGCTACACATCCATTTCAGAGTTTTCAGAGTCCAAGCTATCCTAATCTCCAAGTCCCAGGTTCCAAACAACATAGATAAGCGACAAGAGATCTTAGAAGTTAGTACTGAATACAGACATGTAATGGAAAACGAGGAATCCATGAAAGCACCACTGCTGGTTTCTACAAAAACATGAGACTGACTGTAGAGACCCAAACATTGAAGTGCCATTTAAAGGCAGCCAAGGTCTCCACCCTAATAAATGTAAAGAAAATTACATTTAACCCGGTCTTCCTGGTAAATCAGGGTAGCACACAAAGTTTCAAGTGTCTCATCAGAGAGTGGCTCACAATGAGAAAGCAGCTGGTAAGAAAGTACCAGGTACACCATGTCTCCAAGTTCAAGGCAAGCAGCCTATGCTACATCCTGGAAACTGTCGAAAGAAAAGATGCAGCACTTATTCACGACAGTTTCTTCTTAAGATCACAACAATCTTGACTTCTGAGGCGCGCTGCAATGTTCACAGCTTTCATCCGGCATGCTTGCAGCTCCCGGAGCCGTGAGCCAGGGCAGCAGGAGGGCGACTAAAACAAATTAAAAACCCAAGAGTTTTTGAGACAAGTTGTTCCTATTATTTACACAGGCTCAGAAAGTCAGAAGGGAATATACGCTCCAGTGTAACTGCAGGGCTTAGTTTCAAACACAAGTGCTCGCTGAAAAATCCAGAGGAAAGGACAATCATCGAAAGTCATTATGCATTTATATTACATTAACTGCTAGAAGAGACAGCGGTACGAGCAATATAATGGCTCTAAATCCACGGAAAAATAAGTTTCTCAAACAATAAATGGAGAAGATACCAACCTGTTTAACTTGAAAGTATTTTTTTTCTCAGTTTAGAACAGAAAGATACGGCTCAATCAAGTTGTTTTTAAGAACTGAGTCCCACTTACGATCATCTCCCAAACAAAAGCATGCCTGATGGATCATTCACACTTTGGATCAGTCTACCGGAAAGAAGGAGGGGCGGGGGGAAGTTCTTATCTGTCACTTTCGAGGATGATGCATTCTGCAACACTGAAAACGAGTTCTGCGTATATTTTAATGCATCCCAGGCTAATCCAGTCTTAAAAGACTGACTGATCCGAAAATAAGTACCCAAAATGAGGTTCTTAAAGTATTCTTTATTAATATCATTAGAAGTTGCAGAAACAACTTTCTTGTAATATAAAGGCACAGGGAGACAGTTTTGATAAAATATCCCAATCAAACAGTAACTTACAGTACAAAAGGACAATTGTAATGCACATACAAACCCCAAACGTCTCATTCAAAAATATTTCACCGTGTTCATCAGTAATAATGGGCAACGACTAAAAATATAAATTGTTATTGTACAATAAATATCTGATAGGTGCAAACGGAACAAGATTTATTGCTCTCCACAATGTTTTCCCTGTAGTGTTCAGTGTTTCTTTTTTTTTCTTTTTTTTTTCTTTTTTTAAAGTTCCAAATTCCTGTTTTAGTCGGCTTGAGTAACTTATTTCTGAGGGAGCTAAACCCCAAACCAAATCTGATAGGACATTCTGACAGTTACAGAACCGCCTCGAGTAGCAACCAGAAACTGGCAGTGTTTGTTTCTTTTACAACCCCAACAATCACACTCCACTCGCTCAGTGGGAAATGTGGTAGATGTTTAAAAAACAACTTTAGTGATAAGTCAAGGCTTCCATGGTAGGGCAGTATTACCTAGTCTGAGGGTTAGTCCATTTGCTTCAAATAAGTGGATTTTGTGATGAAAAATAACATGAAACTTCTCTGACAGCTTGTGCCAAACCACGGTAAAACCAGGTAAAACCACGTAAAACCATTTGCAAATGAGGGGAGGGGAGAAATGGAAATTAAAAGCTGAGTTGGGCATTCTAGCTTCAGAACAAGACAAGGGATTGGGAGCAAATTAGGACTACACAGACAAAGATGACTTACAGGGAGAATTTCGAATTCTAACATACCCTTAATATAGTCATCTAGGGAACCAAAGAGCACTCTGCATCTTTAGACGCCTCTGTTTTCCGAGCTGTGAGAACAAGGCCCAGTCAGCGAGGCTGCCCTTTTCCCCCCCTGCACTTGCAGCCACCTGGTAAAGCACCGGTTTCCACCAGTCTCCTGAGGCAGTAGGAGAGGGGTGCTAACTTCACTCTTCCAAGCGGCACATACCACCCTGCTCAGAATGCTTTTTAGCTTGGGTGAAATACTGGTTTATACACGCATTTAAGAAATACTAGTTTCCTCCATTACTGTTACAAGAAGCAATACGCGTACTTTTCCTAACAGTATCTTTGTATGAATAACGCTTCAGGAAAATAAAGTATTACAGTAATTGTAAAAAAAAAATAAAAAAATAAAAAAGCAAGCTTTGAAGTAAGTTCGTGTAGCAGTAACTGAGGGTTTTATAAGAACTGTAATTTATGAGAACAGCTCCAGATTCACACGAGTCTCAACAAGTCAATTTTAACTGCACTGGGAATAGTCAAACTTGGTTCAAGAAAAAGTGTCTAGCATGAATACAGGTTAATGAATTCAGCTGGCAATCCAAAGGATTCAGTAAACTCCATTACACTCAAATTCAATAGAATTGGGAATGATGTAAAACAAATGGCTAACTTTCTAGACCTTATTATTCAAATTGGGGTTTTCTTGTAGCATGAGAACATAGCTTTAGAAGCTCTTCAAAGAGTAACCAAGGACCACTGAAATTTGAGTTTTGAGAATTATTAGCTTCACTACAGTATAGCATTTTTTCTTTAGAATGCTTTGTTTAGTTTAGAAACTAATAAACAAAACCATTTTCTTTGGTTTATGCTTAACTACACTGGACTAGTGAATTGTTTTAGTCAACTCCTATCCCCAATTTAAATTAATACAGATCTTCTTATTGTAGTGTCTCTCCAATTCTCAAGTTATCTCTGTTAACAATAAGAGTTTGCTCATACCATGACCTCCTGTCAAACAGTCGTGTGTATATACTGGCATGAAGAGTAAAAGTTTTGTACAATAATTACATTAAGTGATATTTCCAATGGCAGAAGTACAAAAGACATCAAATGAATGTTTGTTCAAATGACAATTGAGTTTATGACAATCTTAAAAAAAAATACACAAGGCCTAAGCATAGTAAAATACAGTGTAAAGCCCCCTAAAATTAGACAGTAAATGTGGGAATCCTGCACTCACAGTAGGAATGTACTGCACAGCGTTAACATGAAAGCCCCTTAAATCTGAAACAATGCAGACAGCTAGATTTACCTGGATATAAATGCCACTTCAAGGTGTTTAAACAAACACAAAAATGAGACAATGCTGTCAGGAAAAAGGCCTTTAAAACAGGCCGTCAGTGTAACTTGACTTTCCAAGTAAGAACATCAGCTTCACAAACCTGTGACACTAATGCAGTTTTATGTAAAGTACCCTTTGACACACAAGCTGTCAATTAAGCTATCACAGTCTTTTTTGACCTACTCCCTTTTAAATTGATAGGGAGGACAGTCAATAGTAGCTCAAGTTTTAATTCAGTAAGTACCTTGTCTGTTTGCAAAGGAACATTAAACCCCATAAAATTATATTTTTATGGTATTTAAAAAACTGATAAACTAGTTTTTTTTTTTTATTTTCTCTTTTTAGTACATAAGTTCAAAACTTCATTTTCTACGTGTCTTTGCAATAGTGTTTTAGCCAGTGTCAGAGAAATTTTCACTGTGGACTACCTCACATTGTTACTCAGTTGTGCAAGGTATTCACGCAGTTCCTTCGCAGCTTGGAATCTGCCGTATCGCTTCTTTGGGTTGGCACACTCATCCAGCAAGGCCTCCAGTCGGCCGTCTTTGGCAATTTCAGCTGGGGGGTCATGAAGTAGTCCTCCAGAAGTGCCACGCCATGTGGCATGTCTTGATAAAAGGTTCTGACAAATAGCATAATAATTGTGGTCCACAGTGACACGAGCACAAAGAATCTCTTTTGAGAAGGACAGACAAGCTTCTTTATCACAGTCATCAAATTTGCTTTCATACCATACATCCCAGTTTTCAGGTTTATCTGTGAAATATAAGGAGACAGTAAAAAACCAATGTGAGAGAGAGGAGGAAAGAGTATACCTGTGTCTGAATACAACCAGAAGCTCAATACACAGCAAACTGGTAATATTTAAACTTTAAACCAACTTTGTTTAGAACTCTTAAACGTTCTAGTCCAAGATTGCACTGACAGTCTGCTATACCCTTCTGCTGAAATCACCTCGGCGAGACAAGAAGTAATGGAAAGAAAGAAAGGGGACAAAACAGACAGCAAACACAGGGAAACAGCAGAAACAGCACATCAAAAGCATGAAATTTACACTCGCGCATACTCGGAGATAAAATGTAGCACAAACAAGTACATGAGAATGACCCACAGCTGAAGTTGAGACCAAAACAAACAAGCAGCATGACTTATTTTAGCAACAGATTTGGGTTCTCCAGTTGCCCTGGGAACTAATGCTGGCAAGCAGTCTACCAAAACCAAAAAAAAACATTTCAAAGTAATTGCCACAGACGTCTGAAACATGATCTTCCCACCTCTTACTTTAGACATGGTAGTAACTACAAAGCGTGTATAAAAAAGCAGATGCATTACGTATAATCTTTGAAGAAAGAAAAAGTTCAACAAAACAAATGGTATTTACATACATGCATAAACCCTTCTTTATATATTAAACCTTAACCCTTTAGCTTAAAACCTGATGTACAGAAAATACCTTATACAATAATTATACATAAAAGGTTATTAAGTGTGACATCTCTTGAGTTCTTATTACTTTTTGTTAGAAAACTCCATCTTAAATGTCTAGATTACTGCCAGCATAGAGGAGTCTCATAGTTCTGCAGATCTTTTACCACTGTGATGTACAAAGCAAAATTTACCCGTGTTTGGTAATCTCTAAGCTGACAGTAGGTCTACTCATTTCTGGTGTGCTGCAAGCCAGTCTAGAAAAAACAGCGTGCTGAAGGATGACTGCAGAAACTGTAAAATTAGGATGTAAAATCTGTGCAAGGAACAGCAAGATCAAAAAGGAAAAAAAGCCAGCAACAAAGGAGAATGGGAAAACAGGATTTCAGCAAAACCAAATATGATATCCCACACAGAGTACAATTATATATTCCTGTGCAGAGCAACTGGACTGAATGTACATATTCAAATATCTGAACAGGCATATTAATCACCCTAGGCAGGGATTGTTTAATGAAACTTTCCAGAAGATTAATGAAATCAGCATTAAATGTCAAGTTTATAAAAAGCCTGAGAACTTTCTTGTGTCCTCATTTGTTTTCTTTGTTCTTGATTAATTGTTAGATTACAAATCATGCAGCAAAATCCTGGTTAGACCCAAATTAGTCCGAGAACTATAGAGAACAGATGTAAGCATGACACTTTCAGCATTCAGCTTCTGCAAGAAGCTGCTTGCCCCTCTTCCACATACACATCATTTCTGAGTTTATTTGGTCACCTTTGTGACTGGCCTACTGCCATCAACTTCCATGGAATCCACGCTTTCATTGTGACTGAGCATTTCAGACATGCTCCCAAAGTCAAAGTCTTAAGTATTATTTAAAGGGAGAGGGGGGGAAGTCTATTTGTGTGGCCCACATGTAATACATTAAATGTAATGGATATCCGACACAATAAAAGGTTTTTGGAAAGCATGTGGATAGAAAATATACATCCTAAAGGTAATTCAGCAGCACAGCACACGAAGTCTACTTGCAAAGCTTAAAAAAAAAAAAAAATCCATTCACCCAAAGCAAACTGGAGTCGCTTGGCCTACTGCCATCAACTTCCCTGGAATCTACGTTTTCATGTTCACTGTCTCTAGCCCTCAGGTCTGCCAAGTTTTCCTCACAAGCTCAAAATGAATATAAACCCATGTAACA